TTCATGTAAGAGAAAATGTGTAGAAATATGGAGATTTACCAAAGGCTAGCGAAAGATTTTGTAAAATTGTTGAGAACTGATCTGTTTCTGCATACGTAGATGACTTTTCATTATTAATATTATTATTACTTTTTTTAATTGACAGATTTTAGATCTAATTTACTTGTTTTGCGCAGAAACATCTGTACAAAGATAATTGTTCCAGTGGCTCCTCCAAATGTTGCCGCCTCTCTTGTTGACCCATATTTGCATATATGACCACATGCAAATGCACATGCAAATTTTGTATATGACCACATACAAAAGATTTGTTATTTGTCAAAGATGATGATTTACAGTTAGGGCTTGGTTCAATGTGACCACATGCTCCCACTCTTGGTGAACTAGTAATAGTTAAACATATTTTCAGTACCACAAATCCTTTTTTAAGGCTTAAAGTATATTTATAAGCAATTTTGATTACATGCCTGCAGGAACTGTTTTTTTCTGCCAGAAGATCAGCAGTATAGAACATATATAGGATACAGTAAACTTACTGTTATATTAAAACCGTATTGGCTCTCAGAAAATCACAGCCAGTACAAAAATTTTGTTATAACTCTCTTTCTTACATGGCAGCATTGCTAGACTGTGAGTCTCGATCTGATCTTATATTGCGTCCCGTCACGATGAGCTTTTCAACTAATGCTGGAAATTTTGTATTTCAGAAATATGAATTACCATTTTAAGTTAAACACTTAAAGTATATCTAAAGAAAAAAGGTTTAAATCCCTGTCAGGTTTTCTTTTCTGCCTGTGTATCCCTTCTCTTACTTCTATTACAAGACCTAGGAATGGAGGTTGGGCGGATGATTGATAAGTCCACCCCCTCCATTCAAAGATTCTGTTTCATTCATAGAAACTGTAGTACAGCTTCTGTGCATGGCGGATCTGGATGCAAAGGACAGTTATTGTCAGGCTTTCTTGATGATAACCTGTGACAGCCCCTACTTGTATTAATCCCTGCTGCAACACCAGAAGATTATGACAACAGGGTGTGGGGGGCATTGAAGTAGAAAGATTTCATTTTGATCAAGTAGGACACAGTAGCCCAAGGGACTTATCTTACTGAAAGATCCCTCGTGCTGATTTTTCATTTTTTTTTAGCTGAACTTAGGTGTAGCACCCTCCTAGACAGCTAGGGGGAGCTAGATCATAATGGTTAGACAGGGACTGAATAGCAGCCGAGGTGTAATAGTTAGAGGGATCAAATTTTGGCCAGGAGCTGGAAGGCTTTGCAGACTCAGCCTTGTGAGACTTCCCCCTGCCTAGAACTTTGGAGAAAGTTCTAGAAGCAGTGGGTGGATGTAAGGAGTGGCTGATCTGCATATTCAAGGATTCTGACCAATCCCCAACAGGAGACTTGGCAAGGGGTCAGAATAGCCCTAAATATGAGTGAGCCTGTCCAGTGAGAGAGAAGTTGGGTGGAAGAAGCAGAGAGGAAGATGTGAGGCTGAAGAGGAAGGAGGCTGCAAGCAGGCCCAGTGAGATGGTGGCCACCTGCAGGCCTGAAGCTGAAAAGGGAGAAAGTTTGGAACTCAATGGCCCCCTGAGAGAGGCCCATTTGTACGTCAGGGAAGGAGCAGCCGAGCTGTTAAGCCTGGTAGCAGCAGTCAGCCCACAAGCGGTACAGGAGAAGATCTGAGTGAGTACACCTACCTACACCCCCTGGGTGGATAGGGGAAGGAGCACTCTGGTGGAGAATCAGATTAGCCCCCTACTTGTGACTGTTCACAGAGCTAGATCTCCTGCTCAGGGATGCCTCCAGATTGCTGGGTGAAGAGGAGATGTTCATATAGGGTCTGGGGTGGTTCATTAAGGAGATGCTGGCTAGCTCTCCAATAAATACTGTGCTGCAGAGAAGGCTTGTAAATAGTTCCAGGAAGTTGTCCTCATTTTGTCGGTACCCTTGGGCATTCTATACACCCCCTAACCCTATCCTAGTTTAGATCCCCTCAATAAACAACAAAAGCAAAGCTTTCTGACTCTGGATGCAAGCTTGTGTGAAGATGTTTGATGCCTGGCTGTGCAGGACTATAGGGGGACTCAGTTCATCAGCAACTCCTAAGGGGGTAGTGCTACATAGGCTTTGGACTTTTTTGACACAGGCTATAGGATTACCAGGACTTGATTTTTTTAATTGTGCATGCTCCAAGGCTCCCTCATGTATCATTGCTCTACAACCTTTTGAACCACTGATTCATATTATGTATGTTGGTAATGCAATAAATAGGAAAGCAAGGATAAGGATGACAGCCCAGAAGTTTGTATTGTTTTCATAGGCTTGTCATTAGTAGTTCCTTGATTTCTATCCTGATCTTTCCCTTTAGTAATAGCTGGTGCACAACAAGGAGCCTGCATGGCAAACACAATATTCTTGTTCCAAACTCCCCTGCCCATCCATAGGACATTAATAATTGTTCACTAGGGGGTGTACATAGGAATCAATACACTTTGTAAACAGTTATTTTAATGCATTTTAAGCTGAGATGAGAAATGTTTTGTTGACATGCAGTGGCCTGTTGGAGTCACCAGAGCTTTGTACAGACATGTCCTGGAGTACTAATAGAATGCCAGGATGACAATACTGTACTTCTGTCATGGTGCGTTGTTCTGTGAGGTGTCAGTATAGCTCTTTCAGTGTGTTCTAACCATTCTGTAAACAGCAGGCTAATGACAGATGTATAACAAGACACTTCATTACAGCACATGTATTCTGCACAGCGTGGAACATTAGGGACATTGTTAAAATGAAATTAACAGTAAAAGGTAATGTGATGCATGTTCTAACTACATTGGCTATTGTAATTATGAAGCTATTGAATTATTTGTTTCTCTCTTTTTCACTATGCAGCTATCAGAATTCGTTCAAGCACAGCATCTGCATAGAAATGCTGCGCCAAGGCTATCACAAGTCTTTCTCAGAACTCTTTGCTCTGATCCAGAAGTGGAATGCCTTAAGGGATGCTGGAGGGCCTGGGTCAGCCATATGGCAACAAAAACCCTTGGAGGAGCAGCACGAGAAACTGGATCAACTTCAGCACTTCCTGACCAGGGCTGAGGCAGCCCAACGAGCAGGTAAAAGAGGGAATTCTGGGAAACAGAGCAGCAGGAGCTGAAGCAACGAGAGCCTCAGGCGAGGATTCTAAATTGTTTCATCTTTGAGTTTGAAACATTACTACAGTTTAGCACATATCAGCTTTACTCTTATCAGCCGTATAGCAAGATAAGTACTAGATCATAAACTATAGTTAAAAAGGAAAGGCTGGCATCAAACTGTGCGCTTTCTAATCCTTTAAAAGAAGAATCAAGAAGAGTAAGGGGTGCGTGTATTTTAACATCTCTTAGGGGAATATTTTTGTTTTATATGCACGAGAGGTCTGCTGGGAAGCTTATGTATGCATAGCATTGAGGCAGTGTCATTTTTTTGTTCTGGCAACACCGCTGCATTAAGCAATATTGCAGTGCCATCGCTTACTTCCAATATACCCTGTGCCACAGTAATGAAATAAAATCCAGGTGAAGCAATAAGCGGCTCCACCAAATGAAATGCTATTCTTTTGTTACTTTTCTTTTTCTTACAGATTAAATATTAAAATATGTATTTGTTGAACATGACGTGGGTGTATTTCATGTAACAGAGTTATGCAAACTCATAATTTAATATGGTTTAGTATAGTATCAACTTTAATGTAGCCAACTTGTATTATTGCTTTAAACATTTAGACAAACTGCATTGTGCAGTTTAAAACATCTACAGTATGTATACGCAGAGGCATACGCACTTTAAGAACCTGACTTTTGACAGTAGATATAATACTAAGGAGGATGCTAGGAAAAGATACACTGCTCATTTTACCCTCTTTTAGAAGCTTTTTGTGATGTTTAGAATGTAAGCACCATCCTTATTTTAGTTCCACCACCCACTGTATTTAAGTGAGTCCTCATTTTATAAATCCATCACAATAAATATGCAAAGGGAATTCAGTTGTGGGAAAAGAAAAGCTTCCGAAAAGTAAAAATTTGACGGACACACAAAAGCTAGAAACCAGACAAATAAGAAAACCAGAGAAAAGAAATGGTAAAAAAAGCAAAAGCAACAATGCTGATATAAAAAAAAAATTGCTAAAGATTAGCAGTACTGTACTATTGTACATGGTTACTGATGGGAGATGGGAATTTTATTAAATCTTATTAAAGGGAAACAATAAAACTAAATTATACAAAAAAATCTTAAAGGGCCCTGGCATTACAAGAAAAAACATATCACAGTATTCCAACCTTAAAGGGAACCCAGCAAGAAAGGATACGCAATATCACAGTACTTTTCTGTTGAAATCCCATAGGGGAGTAGGAGCAATGAAAAAACTGTTTGAGTCCATGAATTCTGTTATTGAATTTACCAAATGTTCCGATAAGTAGTTGTGGTAACCTCATTCTGATTATTTTACTGATTGGGTTGGAAATTGTGTAGGTCTATTATCTTTATGGGAATAAAGAAAACCATCAGAAGCAGCTCTTAAACTATGAATCATCATATGAGAATTGATTTAGTCCACGTGGCTGTCGATAATATCTGTATATGTCATTGGGTATTTGGTACTGTGTGTTGATATGATTGAGTGTTACACAGTTACACTGCATAAACCCAAATGCACCCAAAATAGTTCTGTGCTTGGTTATGACTATGGATAGTCTTGTCTGCTTTAACCGCTAGCCTACAGGGCACTTATACCCCCTTCTTGCCCAGGCCAATTTCCAGCTTTCAGCGCTGTTGCACTTTGAATGAAAATTGCGCGGTCATGCAACATTGTACCCATATGAAATGTTTATAATTTTTTGTTGACAGATAGAGCTTTATTTTGGTGGTATTTATTCACCTCTGGGTTTTTTATTTTTTCTTAAACAAACCAAAAACCACTGAAAATGTTGAAAAAAAATAGTTTTTTTCTTAGTTTTTGTTAAAAAAAATTTGTAAAGTGATTTTTCACCTTCACTGATATGCTCTAATGAGGCTGCAGTGATGGGCACTGATAGGCTGCACTGATGGACACTGATAGGTGGCACTGATGGGCACTGATGAGGAGGCACTGGTAGGTGGCACTGATGGGCATTGACAGGCTTTACTGACTGGCACTGATAGACGGCACTGACAGGCACTGATAGGTGGCACTGATGCGCACTGATAGGCGGCACTGACTGGCACTGATAGGCTGCACTGATGGACACTGATAGGTGGCACTGATGAGCACTGATGAGGAGGCACTGGTAGGTGGCACTGATGGGCATTGACAGGCTTCACTGACTGGCACTGATAGGCGGCACTGACAGGCACTGATAGGCGGCACTGACTGGCACTGATAGGCGGCACTGACTGGCACGGATAGGCGGCACTGACTGGCACTGATAGGTGGCACTGAAAGGGGTAAGTTATCTGTACCATATTTATCAATAAAATTAATGTTCCATGACACTACATCATGACAAATTTTGGATTTGTTAGTGGGGTACATTGATGGGATTGTTTTGGGAGTGGGGTGGAGGGCTTTTATATATTATACATTCATTTATCTATTTTTCATTTATTGAAATACGGTTACTTTTAGAGGCACATAGTGCTCTATAGTTTAGAGATAGATGTTTTGGGTTTGTATATTCATTATGTATACCTGGTCTATAGACTTTGAACAAGTATTTTTTTCTGTTTGTTTCTAAACTTTGTGTACTAGAGATAGAGAGTGGCTGCATGTCCAATTTTTTCATGTTCTGTGTATTTTCCCAATTTCCCGATCTGGTCCATTTCAACAAGATAGGGCAATGATCAGGCTGAACGAGTTTGAGAAAATAATAACTGTCCTTTCTGGAAAATTTCAAACAAATATTGGAGGCATAAATCCTAGTGTGTGTGTGTTCATGAACCTATTTGCTAAAATTAAAAAAAGTAAATCTTGAGATGTTATGCTAGCCTTAATGCTAATGGTTTTGACCAGCTATAAATTGTTTCAATACTAATCACTCACTAAGATTTAAGAGTGATCTTGATAATAAATTCTCTGATACCCAACCCCCCCAGTAAAGAAAATTCAATTTTATTAATAAAACAACAATAACTGCAGTCCAAAGGAAAGGAGGAACTGGCTCAAAGATGTCATTTCACTTTAACCACTTCAAGTCCGGACACTTTCACCCCCTTCAAGTCCAGGCCAATTTTCAGCCTTCAGTGCTATCACACTTTGAATGACAATTGCGCGGTCATGCAACACTGTACCCATATGAATTGTTTAGCATTTTTTTTGAGACAGATAAAACTTTATTTTGGCGGTATTTATTCACCACTGGGATTTTTATTTTTTTGCTATAAATGAAAAAGTAAAAGAAATTTGAGAAAAAAAAAAAAAGTGTTTTTCTTATAAAATTTTGCAAATAAATAATCTTTCTTCTTAAATCTTGGCCAAAATGTATTCATCTATCTTTTTAGTAAAAAAACAATAACCCAAATTAGTTTATAACCAAAAATTATAATTTTTTTTTATATTATTATTATTATTTTTTTTTTTAACATACTGTTACCCTAGCAGTACAGTGTCACCATAGTGACACTGTACTACTTGTGGGGGGTGATGAAGATTTAGTTTTTTCTTTTTTTACACTGATTGCTTTTACACCCATAAAGGCTGTAAAAGCAATAATTTCTTCTTCTCTTTGGCTGCATTCTCTCCCAGGGAGCATGCACAGGCAATGAATGCAGGGTGACGTTTAGAAACGTCAACCCGCTTTGTGGTTAAACAGCTTGGATTTACCAAAAAATGTTCATATTTAATGCTTAGATTCAGGCAAACAGCTAAATGCACAGATGAAACATATATCATAGTTGTCTTACGTGCCTGGAGATTTGTATTTCTTTCCATCCAGTGTTGAGATCTGCACAGCTCACCCACACAGCACAGCATTCTCTGATAGGGCAGACAACCTGACTTTTCTTTGCTGCAGTTAAGTAACACTTATTGACCTTGTCTCTCCCACAGTCTGTAAGCAAAAACTAAAGGAGAAGCAACAGTTTGAACACTCCATCTAGCGTGATTTCTCTTGTTAGCGTATGAACGCTGCAGCACAACTTACTCTCTTTTTGTGCTGCTTCTCTCTCCCAGTCTGAGGCCTGCTGTACACAGACTGAAAGAAGATGATACCGTGTCAAACATAGGTACCTACTCTGCTTGTATAAAAAATACATTTAATGCTGCATTTAGAAATACAGAGCTGCATTAATTTGTGTCTTTTATGTGTGCCTGGAGATTAGCTTAAATGAAACTTCACTGTATCATTAGAATGATTTCATTTTTTGGTAGAGTAGAAAAGGTACCAGTTTCTTGGAGCACTAAATTTTGAATAGACATTTTCAACCACATTTCTATGTAGACTGATGTGTTGGAAATGGTATGGTATTGTGTGCTAGTATTCTGTGCTCAGGGGTTGTGTGGGGTAATGTCATTACCTATATTCAGTGCTCAGAGACAGGCTTTGCAGCACTAAATGAGTTATGTAAAATGAATAGAATGAGTAACAGTTGGTCATCTTATTGATTTATCTCACTTGTCACAGCTGCGCACCAGACTAGCTGTCTGGTCACATTACTATTATACCAATGGATTTATCATATCATATATCTTATAGCATATTACAATGACATTCTTTTTCTCCTAAACTATTTTACTATTGACCTTAAAAATGTTCTCATGATTGTTTGGTAACTGTTATGTAAAGTTCATGTAAATATACAAAAATGTGATACTAGGTTGGACAGATGATAATTACATTGCCTGCTGTTCATGTGTGACAAGGCCTATTGAAAATTACATTTGTATAGAGCCAGTTGTTATTGGTAAGCAAACCTAGAGAATTAACAACATTTTGCAAATCCTGACTGTAATTTACAGCTCGGAATAATTTACAATTCGATAATGACCTATAATTGCTTGCAGAATCATTATGAAATTTCAAAAGATCCTCAGTAAGAATACGCCCACTGTTAGCTAATGTGTTCCTTAGATGCAAAACTACTTTAAAAGTTTTAATTTATGAGTGTGAAAAAAATTAATATCACTATCGCATACAAACATTTTGGAAATATGAAGAAAATCAGTTCTAGTGTTAGGAAATGTCTGGGACCAGTTGAGCTCACTATTAAACCTGTGGAATATGTGCTATGTTATAATTTATACTTTAATAGATCACTTTAAAATAAAAGGAGAGATTAATGCAGAGGAGGAAGAAAGAATTATTTAGTGAATAGTCTCTTCTTTTTCTTCGCCCCCTCTCTTTTTTTTTTCTCTTCTCTTTCTTCTTTTTTTTATGGTTTTTTTTCTTCTTTTTTTTCTCTATTCCTTCCCACTTCTGTTTCCCCTCCACTTCATTATTTCTTCCATTCATACCATTCACCCTTACCTTCACCCCATTTTTATCTTTTCTTACCCCCCACCCCCCACCACTTTTTTCTCTCCACCTTCCCCTTATCCCTTTTCTTTTCCTCCTCTTCCTACTTTCTTTTTCCTCCACCATTCTCCCTCTTTTTAATTTGCTAAACATGATTTTGTTTATTTTTTTCCCTACACAATAAAGATCTATGTTTATATAGGATGGATTGTTTTCATGAGAAACATATTCATATGAATATGTAGACATTAAGGCCCCTTTCAGACAGGGCGGACTCTGTCCTGATCAGTAGGGGATCTGCTCACAGATACCCTGCTGATCATAGCAGAGTGGGAGGATGAAGCATCCATGTCCACTCAGTTTCTGCAAAGCAGACATGGAAGAGCCCATGCTGCTCTATGGGGGCTGAGAGTAAATGGACTCCACTGTCTGTTTACACCCAGTTACAGTCCAATCCAATCTAATCTGACTAAACAGAAGAGGACTAAATCCCTTTTCGTTCTTTTTGAGAAGACCAGATCAGACACGGAGGTAGGCAGGTGTAAACAGACATAAGTCCATTTACACCCGCCTGTCCATAAGAGTGAATTGACCATCCGATCAGATCCACCTGAAAAATTGACAGGCTGACCTGATTGGACCCACCGTGTTACGGGGGCCTTTTGTTCGTTGTGCATTTGTATTGTGTTCATATGTTTTTATGTGTCTAGTGCATTCAGTTGCAGTTATATTTGGCCTTGTTGTGAAACACTTCTTTTATAGCTGCACTTGTGAAATACATACCTGTTTAGATATCTGAAGATAACTGGTGTGATTGTAGGCCATAGGGTGCCAACATCCCAGAAATAGCCTAATCAACAAATTGTATCATGGGCGTATGGGACTTTCCTGTCACCAATTTTAATTAAAAAGCAGAAGATATATATAAAAGCAGTTTATTACATCTTGCAAAACATAAAATCATGTCTCAAAACATACACTGTATGCTTAGACCATAGTGGAACAAAACCTCACATACAACTCTCATAGGTTTAAGTGTAGCAGCCTTGATGTAGAAGCTGTCTGGCACATTCTAAGTATCACTATTCATCAGGGACTTAATTACATGAACTCATAGAAAGATTAGCAATTGCAACCCTACAGATGAAGGATAAAAACAATAAGCATGGTATTGTGGTGATGCAAACCAATTTTGAAAGGGTCATCAAAGGGGAAAAGGAGACAACTGTAAATGCAGAGATCCAGAGGGCACCTAAGAGATCTTAACCACAGACCAAAATAGGTCCATCCAAGAGCATAGCCAGCTGCAACATTCCAGTATCAGGGAAGATGCCTTCTTCCCTGGTGGTGGAGTGTTGCAGCCGGCCATTCCTTTGCATAGAATTCATTAAGGTAAAATAAACCTTATGCCTTTAGAACTACTTTAAGCTGATAATCAATGGATGAGGACTCTGATTAATTGTTTTTCTGTATAGAGGAATGATCTATTTGTAAAGTTACCCAATTTTCTTTTTATTGTTATGGAACTATAAAGCTCACTGTTATCAGTGTACAGATCTCGTGCTATACACTCACTGAAGGAAGTAGTTTTAGGTGTTCCTGTTTACTGGATTGGTGGGTAGCGCAAGCAGAGTAGCATCATATCTACTTCAAGCAATACTAAACATACCTTACTAAACATACTGTAATATTTTACAACAGTGATAAATGTGTATGACGTGCTAGTACATGGTTCGAAAGCAGTTCTAAAAATGTGTGCGTCTTGTAATTCTGGGCATAATTTAGCTTTTATCCAGTAAAGCAGCATCAGAAAAAAAAACTGCAGCCTGCATGTTCTGCATTGTTCTGAGAAAGGGGTTCCTAAAATTATTGGATGTGTTTCAGCCATCGTGTGAATATAGCAAACTGCTAGACATTGGACAGCAGAAATGCATATGGGAAGCATTCGGCAGCAGCGGCATGATGTCAGCAATGTAGGCTCCACCCGACGCGTTTTGTGCACATGCACGTCGTCAGGGGTACGCCCATTGATGTTGATATTTATTTGATATATGCAACCATGGACATTATCACTGATTCACTATATTGCACAAAATAGCACTTTACTTGTGGGTTTCATTTCTCATATTTTTATAGACGCAAGCTTTTATCTATATATATGCTGCACTTTACTGCTCCACTTTTACTAATAAGATTGTGTGTTTGTTAGCGCTGCACTTTTATATGAATATTCTTGTTGGGATTGTTACCTATACCTTAAGTGCTAGCTGCTTCTATATATAATGCTCGCCTGTATACTTCGGTTATGGTTAAACAATGCTGCAAGCATTTTATATTTCTTATTTTCCCTCACCAGTAAAGACATAAAGGTGAAAACTGATCTAAGTTTGAGCACTCCACAAGGATGAAGCACCGTCAAGAAAGAGCTATAGAAAACTTTTTTGGGTTACAAATTACCATAATATTCTTAATTAGCAGAAAAAACAGGCTGAAAAACATTATCAGGTTAGAGGTTTTCAAGTGGCAGTAGAGGCCTCCTGATGTTTCAGATCCAATTGCTTGTGTCCTATACACTGTGATCTAGACTTTCTTTTCCACCACTGGTATCATGCAATAAAATCTGTCCTCAAGCTGTCCATAAGCTAAGCAGCACTCTGGAAAAGTCCCCAAAATACAGCTATAATTTCATGATCCTGTTGTAACAACAACTGTTAGATTTGGTTGTCAACACTCAGATCAGCAGTACTCTTTAATGGAGTTTACAAAAATGCTTACTTTTGTTTCCATGACGTTAAATTGATCCTAATACTTAAAGTGTTACTTAAAGTGTTACTAAACTCAAGACCCTGCATCCACTATATCTGGTCTCCCACAGTACACAGAACATGGAAATGCAATTATTTTAGTAAATATAAAATTAATACCTTTTCATATTAGAAGTTAAAGCAGTCTTGTGACTTCTATCTGTGTACAGCCCAGCACTAGCTAAAGCTTGTAGGAGGAGTTTTCTTTCTGCTCTAGGAGGATGCAAAAGCCCTGACCTCTGTCTGACCAGTGCTGATTGGCCCTGTGCTGATCACATGCACATGCCTACAGTTCAGTCTGTCTTATCAGGAGATAAGAGGTGGTCGCTTGAAAAAGGGGAGGCAACAGAGAATAACACTTTTCCTCTCCCTGCACTATTTTGTTTATATAAAATCTTTTATTACATTTTTATTACAATACATAAAACAGCCATATATCTTTTGTCACAACATATACATCCACTTTAACCCCATCCCCCCCCCCCCCGGACCTCCCCTCAAAATACAATTACCTCTGTCCAATTCAATCTTGCCATCTGTTTACCGACCTGTATCTGCAACCCTATTTTCTACAATCTAGTTAACCAGTTTGATTCTCCAACTCTGCAACCAGGGCACCCCTCATTTTGAAAATATTTTTCAGATGTTTTAAATTCATACCACCTACTCCATTCTTTTCTAAATTTTCCATTTTGTCTTCCTCCATAAGGCGTAGCTCCTCCATCCTATTAATATAGTCAATTCCATCTATCCAGTCCCTCGTTGCTGGAGCGTCCTGAACCTGCCAAAATGTAGGGATTACACTTTGTGCCACACTAATCAGATGGTATAATATACTATTTTTATATTGTTTCATTGACATCTCTGTTTTATAAAAATGACACATCCATGGATCCTTCTGAATAGATGTCCCCCAAATCTTCTGTATATATTGAATTATATCTTGCCAAAACACCTGTATCCTCTGACAGTCCCACCATATGTGAGCCATTGTCCCTATTACCCCACAACCTTCCAACACAATGGTGATATTTCTTCTCATTGTTTATGTGCCACACTTGGTGTACAATACCATCTAGATAAACATTAATAATTAATTTCAACTGTATTCATATTCATCATTCCGTGTATTAACTTAAAAATTTTATTCTTCTGTTGATCATTTATTTTTGTACCAAATTCTCTTTCCCATTTATCCAAGAATGCCAGAGGTTCAGCTCCAATCAATTCAATTAAGATCTTATAAATCCTGGAAGTTATATGTTTACATACTATCTTGGAGCTCAACATTTTTTCAAATGGAAGCATGTCTTCCAACAACCTCAGTAGTTGTTGGAGCGTTGAGACAAAATGTCCTAATTAACAATATCTCAATTCATCTGACACAAAAAATAAGTCCTTTTTACTCTTTAATTCTTGAAAAGTGCATAACTTCCCTTGATTCACTATATCCCCCAACTGTGCATTTCTATCGTTAAACCATTTTCCCAAAACATTCCCTCTGCCAGGAGTAAAAAAAATCTGTGTCCACCAGTGGCAATAATAATGAATTGTACTTCCAGCCCATAGACTTGTGCAAACCATCCCAAATTCTTAACACCTCCTGTGTCAATGTGCTGCTATTTTCATCTATAACCCGAAACTTTCGTGGGATCCAAATGATCCTCTCTGATTGAGTATTACTTAATACACCTTCCATTTTAACTCAATTTTTCTCTTGTGAATTATGTGTTTCCAGTCAACCACCCGTGATAATAACACCGACATATAATACTTCCTCATATTTGGCAGATTTAATCTTCCTTTCTCTTTGTTGTAACATAAAGATTCATACTTAATTATTGGTTACTTATTAGCCCATATGAACCTCAATATCAAGTTTTTTATTATCCTAAAAAAAGGATCCGGGTAAATATATTGGGAGCATTTGAAACTTTTACAGAATTTTTAGGACTATTACCATCTTAACCAGATTTATACATCCAATCCATGAGACCCACCCCCCTGAGAGTCTTCTCAACTCATCTTTGATATAATTTATTAATGGGATATATTAACATCATATTATCTTGGTATAAATCCTTTATTGAGGGGTTTAATTTATTCCCAAATAACCTAATTCCCTTTCCCTCCAAGTAAATGGAAAATCTTCTTGTAAGTTTATCCTCTCTGCCTTTGACACGTTAATATTTAACAAATTCAATACCGTGCAATTTTACACCTTCCTGCCCAGGCCATTTTTCAGGTTTTAGCGCTCTCACACTTTGAATGACAATTGCGCGGTCATACAACATTGTACCCAAACTAAAATTTTATCATTTTCTTCACACAACTAGAGCTTTCTTTTGGTGGTATTTAATCATCGCTGGGGTTTTTATTTTTTGTGCTAAATTAACAAAAAAGACCAAAATTTTGAAAAAAAACACGTTTTTCTTTGTTTCTGTTATAAAAGTTTGCAAATAAATAATTAATTGTTCTTCATAAATTTAGGCCAAGATGTATTCTACTACATGTCTTGGGTAATAACTCAAATTAGGATGTATTTTTTAGTTTGTAGGAAAGTTATAGAGTTCACAAACTATGGTATAGCTCTGAATATTGATCAATCCTGAAGTACTGACAGCCAATCTGGTCCAAGAATGTCAGAACAGTACAGATATCCCCCAAATGACCCCTTTTTGCAAAGTAGACAGTCCGACGTACTTCATAAGAGGAATGGCGAGTTTTTTGAAGTTGTAATTTTTTTTGTCATAATTTTTTGGAAAATGAAAAAATAAAAAAAAATTATTTTCACTATTTTTTTTTTTTTACATACTGTCACCAGTGCAGTACAGCATCATCATATAACTGGCATGGCGGTGATAAAGTACACTGACTGGTGACAGTGTGAAAAAAAAAAAAATATTTTTTTTTTTTTATTTTTTTTTTATTTAAAATTTTTATTAAGTTTTTTTTCTTTTTTTTAAGATTTTTTTTCATATTTCACTATGTCCAAAGTAGTACAATGTTACCATAGTAACATTGTACTACTTTGGGGAAGTGATCAGTATTTTGTTTTCTTTTTACACAATTTGCTTATAGCAAAGAATTACTTTGCTATAAGCAAGCATTTACCTGAATGACATCGATTCATTCAGGGTTTTTTTTTTTTTTTGTGCTTAGCTGTGATTTGACCACAGCTAATCACATGACATGTGCATGTGATTAGCTGTGACCATTCACAGCTAGACACTAGTATACAATGGAGGCATGAATGAAGCCATCCATTGTATACAACTGTCATGTGACCTGCTGTGATTGGTCACAGCAAGTCACATGGTACCGGCAACGGGGGACGGTACTCAGATCTGTCATCAGCCGTGTCCGAGGTACACGGCCGGTGACAGAACATGCCACTGCGCAGCTCTGCAAGCGCGCAAACTGCGCATGTGAGGGAGGACGCCATATGGCGGCCTTCCGCAAAGGTAATACATTTTTGCGGATGCCATTCGGCCATAGGCCGGGTGTCAAATGGTTAAAATCTCAGATTTTGTGGAGTTTATTTTCAGATTAGATAACTCTCTGTAGTGTTTTAATAACTCCATTAAGTTAGGCAGCATCAATCTAGGATTCACGATGTAGAACAGCATATCATCTGCATACGCTGCTACCTTATGTTCTACTCCTCCTATCTTAATTCCTGTAAAATTTATGCTCTTTCTTACCAACGCCAAAAGTGGTTCCAGGGACAAGACAAACAACAACGGGGATAATGGACATTCCTGCCTGGTTCCATTATACATTCCAAAGGTCCCAGACAAGGACCCATTGACATTCACCACTTATAGCCATTATAGAGCTCTTTTATCCACTTCAACATTTTTTCCCCTATTCCCACTGCCTCCAGTGTATTTATCATGAATCCCCAATCTACCCTATCGAAGGCTTTTTCTGCGTCAATAGACAAAATAATTGTCGGCTGACTGCCTCTTTTTGATTTTTGCAGATGGAGCAGTGTTCTCAAAGCGATATCTCATCCTTCCCTTCCTGGGATAAATCCTACCTGATCTAAATGTATCCATTCAGACATCAGTTCTTTCAACCTGGGAGCTAATACTTTTGCAAACAATTTAGTATCAGTATTTAGTAATGATATGGGTCTATATCTAGCACATTGTGAACTATCTTTCCCTTCTTTAAAAATTGTTATATACAGTGGGGCAAAAAAGTATTTAGTCAGCCACCAATTGTGCAAGTTCTCCCACTTAAAAAGATGAGAGAGGCCTGTAATTGGTATCATAGGTAGACCTCAACTATGAGAGACAAAATGAGAAAAAAAAAATCCAGACAATCACATTGGCTGATTTGGAAAGAATTTATTTGCAAATTATGGTGGAAAATAAATATTTGGTCAATATCAAAAGTTTATCTCAATACTTTGTTATATATCCTTTGTTGGCAATGACAGAGGTCAAACGTTTCCTGTAAGTCTTCACAAGGTTGGCACACACTGTTGCTGGTATGTTGGCCCATTCCTCCATGCAGATCTCCTCTAGAGAGTGATGTTTTTGGGCTGTCACTGGGCAACACAGACTTTCAACTCCCTCCAAAGGTTTTCTATGGGGTTGAGATCTGGAGACTGGCTAGGCCACTCCAGGACCTTGAAATGCTTCTTACGAAGCCACTCCTTCGTTGCCCGGGCGGTATGTTTGGGATCATTGTCATGTTAGAAGACCCAGCCACGTTTCATCTTCAATGCCCTTGCTGATGGAAGGAGGTTTGCACTCAAAATCTCACGATACATGGCCCCATTCATTCTGTCCTGTACATGGATCAGTCGTCCTGGTCCCTTTGTGGAGAAACAGCCCCAAAGCATGATGTTGCCACCCCCATGCTTCACAGTAGGTATGGTGTTCTTTGGATGCAACTCAGCATTCTCTCTCCTCCAAACACGACAAGTTGTGTTTCTACCAAACAGTTCTATTTTGGTTTCATCTGACCATATTACATTCTCCCAATCCTCTTCTGGATCATCCAAATGCTCTCTAGCAAACTTCAGACGGGCCCTGACATGTACTGGCTTAAGCAGGGGGACACGTCTGGCACGGCAGGATCTGAGTCCCTAGCGGCGTAGTGTGTTACTGATGGTAGCCTTTGTTACGTTGGTCCCAGCTCTCTGCAGGTCATTCACTAGGTCCCCCCATGTGGTCCTGGGATTTTTGCTCACCGTTCTTGTGATCATTTTGACCCCACGGGGTGAGATCTTGTGTGGAGCCCCAGATCGAGGGAGATTATCAGTGGTCTTGTATGTCTTCCATTTTCTAATTATTGCTCCCACAGTTGATTTGTTCACACCAAGCTGCTTGCCTATTGCAGATTCAGTCTTCCCAGCCTGGTGCAGGTCTAAAAAAAATTTTCTGGTGTCCTTCGACAGCTCTTTGGTCTTCACCATAGTGGTGTTTGGAGTGTGACTGTTTGAGGTTGTGGACAGGTGTCTTTTATACTGATAACAAGTTCAAGCAGGTGCCATAGATACAGGTAATGAATGCAGGACAGAGGAGCCTCTTAAAGAAGAAGGTACAGGTCTGTGAGAGCCAGAAATCTTGCTTGTTTGTAGGTGACCAAATACTTATTTTCCACCATAATTTGCAAATAAATTCTTTCCAAATCAGCCAATGTGATTGTCTGGATTTTTTTTCTCATTTTGTCTCTCATAGTTGAGGTCTACCTATGATGCCAATTACAAGCCTCTCTCATCTTTTTAAGTGGGAGAACTTGCACAATTGGTGGCTGACTAAATACTTTTTTGCCCCACTGTATGTGTGCAATGATTCCTCTCATTTCCTTTCTCTCCCCTAACTCATTCATATATCTACAAAGTTTAGGGACAAATGACTCTTCAAATTTTTGTATACCCTACCAGATAACCATCAGGGCCAGGGCGCTTTCCTCCTGCCATACTCTTCAGGGCTGTTCTAATTTCATCCTGGGAAATAACTCGTTCTAGGGATGCTAATTTATCTTCTACAATTTTTAGTAAATCTGCTGCCATTAAAAATTCTTGCATTCTCCTCCTCTTCTCTTCCTCTGTTACTTTTTGGTTTATAGGGTTCATCTCATACAGCCTACTATAAAACTTTTAAAACATATCGGTGATACCAGCTAATAATCAGCTCCCCATTATCGTCCTTAATTTTTTCTATATAATTTTTTTATTTCTTTTCTTTCAATCTTTTCATCATAAATTTTCCTGGTCTGTTCCCCCCCTGGTATCTTTCTTTTAATACTCTTAAAGATTTTCCTTGTTTCCTGTTCTAATAGGTCCTTCAGTTCTTCTCTTTTAACCACTTGCTGACCACAGATAGCCGAATGATGGCTTCACTGTAGCCGGCCAGTTCTGGTAGGGCATCATATGATGTCCTCCCAGAACGCGCCCTCCTGCACACCTCTGGGGGCATGCACCCAGTGATCACGTGATGTGGTAAAAGGCCAATCACAGCGGCCTTTTACCATGTGATCAGCCATGTCCAATGCCACAGCAGATCACCGGTAAATGCAGTTGCCGGTTATCGGCTGCACTTTCCTCACACTGTCACAGCGTGAAGAAAGTACTGCTGATAACCGGCAATTGTCAGAGGAGGGAACGGCACTGATCATCAGGGCACTGATGATCGGTGCCCAGCAGTTCCACCCACCAGTGCCGCCCATCTGTGCCCAGCAGTGCCGCCCACAAGTGTCCGGCAGTGCCACTCACCTGTGCCCAGTGGTGCCACCTACATGTGCCCAGCAGTGCCACCCACCTGTGCCCAGCAGTGCCACCAGCAGTGCCCAGCAGTGTCACCCAGCAGTGCCACCCAGCAGTGCTGCCCAGCAGTGCCACCCATCAGTGCCCAGCAGTGCTGCAATTCAGTGCCCAGCAGTGCCACCAGTCAGTGCCATCAGTCAGTGCCATACATCAGTGCTGCCTATCAGTTCCCATCATTGTTGCATATCAGTGCCCACTCATCAGTGCTGCCTATGAGTGATGCCTATCAGTGCCCATAAGTGCCGCCTATCAGTGCCCATCATTGCTGCATATCAGTGCTAGCTCATCAGTGCCACCTATCAGTGCTGCCTATCAGTGCCCATCAGTGCCCGTCAGTGCTGCCTATCAGTGCCCATCAGTGCTGCCTATCAGTGCAGCCTCATCAACGCACATCAGTGAAGGAGAAAAATTACCTGTTTGCAAAATTTTATAATAGAAACAAAGAAAAAATAAAAATTAAAAATGTTTGCTCTTTTTTTGTTTATAGCGCAAAAAATAAAAACTCAGTGGCGAGTACATACCACCAAAAGAAAGCTCTATTTGTGTGAAAAAAATGCTAAAAATTTCCTATGGGTACAGTGTTGCATGACCGCACAATTGTCACTCAAATTGCAACAGTGCTGAAAGCTGAAAATTGGCCTGGGCACGAAGGGGGTATAAGTACCTGGTAGGCAAGTGGTTAAGGGTAATCTTCCAGTGCAAATCTGTATCCTGCTTTTTTTATGTGCCTATTCTAGTTTATGTAATTCTTCAATTACCCCTTTTAATTTCCTCTCTCGATCTCTCTTTTTTTTTGGTTCCTATGGCAATCAAGATTCCCCTCATATATAGGCCTTATGTGCCTCCCATATAGTCACCACCGATAATTTCTGTGTTTCATTCAGAGCAAAAAATTGCTCTAGGTCTTTCCTTAACCTTTTCTCTATATTGGGGTCTTGTGTAAGTGTCTCATTTAGTCTCCACATAGCCCTCTTATTTCCCTCTCCTCCCAATCGTAGTCTCACCGTGACAGGGTCATGATCCGATATGGACATAACCCCTATGTTAGATTTAACCAAGGATTCCAACTGTCTGTGCTCTATTAATACATAGTCCAACCTTCCGCCCCACCTTCCTCCCCACCTCCATCACCCCTCCCCCCCCCCCCCACCCATAAGAACCTCCTGGCCTATATATTGCCCTAGAATATGATGTGGGACCCCCCTCCACTGGCGTTTCCTAATTTGGCGTATGGCTCTAAATATGCGCACAAATCCTGACCCCCTGTTCTCAGCATGAGGGCTTCCCTTTTCTTTCCTCTATATCGAGACCTGAGAGGGCTCCAGACACCCCACCATTACTATGATATCTTGATCGTGCTTCTCATGAATCAGATGGAGAGTGTAGAAGAAGGTGGATGAAAGGGGGATAGGAGAAAAAAAAAAAAGAGGGGGAAGGAAAAGCCACTAATTGGCCTTCCCCTCCTCTTTTCTCCTCTCCCTGCCCCCCCATGCCCCACCTCCGGCTACCTTCTTCTTCTATTAATTTTGCTGCCATTTCTCATTTCTTAACTCCATTCTCTCATTGAACCCCTCTGACCACACCACTATATCGACAATCTGCAGTTCTAATTTTTCACAAAAGTCTCTTAGTTTCTTCAGGAATCTCAGTCTTGCCTATTTCTCATCTCTCCACCCAATCAGACATGCTGAGAACCCCCATTTGTACCGAACTCCTTTCTCTCTCATCTGATCTAATAACGGTTTCAGTACTCTTCTTCTAGATAGAGTTCAGAAGCAACATCTACAAAAATCTGCAAGTTCGTTTCTCCAAATTTTATATCAGATGTCTCACACAGTTTTTTCCATAGCCTCTCTCTTTCCTTGTAATTATGGAAGCGGACAATCACATCTCTTGGAAATTCTGACGTGATTCCTGGTGGGCGTCTAATTCTATGCACTCTCTCAATTTTTAGAGGGTCTGTGTCTGATCTTCCTAACGGGGTTGAATACACTTTTTATTTTTTTCCCGCAAGTTCTCTTCTCTTGTATCCTCTGGTATGCCCCAGATCCTCAGATTATTTCTCCTCTCTCTATTCTCTTGGTCCTCTAATTTATATGATAGCTTCCTCTTCCTTTTTCATCTCTTCTACTCACATTTCCAATTTAATAATTTGCTAAACCTGGGCCTACATTTTCCCTTCTACTTGATTCAGTTCTTTATAACATTTCACCCAAGTCCTTATGAATCACCGCCATTTCATTTTTTATGGAACATTCCAGTTTTGTGGACTGCCCTTTGCATGCTGCAGCAAAAATACAACTATCTTGTTTAAAAATGGGTTGGCTTGGGCAGAAAATACAGTAGAAAAGGCTTCCTTTTACTATGAAAAGTAAAATTCTTTCTCAAAAAAGTGAACATATCCTTTAAACTAGACCCAAAACTTTACCCCAAACAAGATGTACTGTAATTCTTTACCATACCCTAACCGTTGAATTATATATCTCTACCCAAATTTGTTTGTTAGTTTTGAATTAGGTGGAAAGGTGGCCAGCATCCCTAAAGTTTCTTTGTTTCTGACTTTTTCACCAGTCTTTGTATGCACTGGTGACAATTGGTTCAAATAAGGACACCTGTACTGGTGACAACTGCCTGAGAGGGGTTTTTCTTCACTTTGGAAAAATTTCCAAATAAAAAACACAGATAGCAAAAAAGGCAGGTTTGTAACTATTCCCTACTCTGTCAAATAAACCCATTTGCCTGCTTGCAATATATTTCCATGTCTCCATTTTTGAAAATTTCGAGCTATTGCACGTTATCATGTGAACCACATTTTGAGAAGATAAACCACTAAACTTCACTTTTCATAATTTTCCTAAACCTTTTTCTATTATTACTTTTTATGAATGAGACTTGTATTTCTGATTTAACCTAATACCCTAATGATAACTTAAAGTAAATACTAAATAAATGACAGTAAAATCAGTCTGTATATGCAGTAAAGCATGCTTGTTATTCTCACTGTGGAACCTAAGGAGTTAATCCTCTCCATTGTGTAAAAAGGCTGTTTCATTCTGTCTTCTCTGATCCTCCCCTTCTTCCACAGTCCCCAGTCCATCTGCTGATAGTACAGAGCTCTAGGAGACACTCTGCTCATGTTTGGTGTGTATTGCTAGAGAGTTTTTTTCTGGGGTGGGGTGCATGTGATCAGCACAGGGCCAATCAGCATTTTCCAGACAAAGGGTCAGGGGTCATGCAGCCTCATAGGACAGTCAGAGGAGAATGTAAATTTCTCCTACAAGATTAACCAGTGCTCAGCTGAACACTGATAGAAGACAAGACTCCTATATACTGCTGATGAGAAAAGGTATTAATCAATTTATACTTACTAAAATAATTGCATTTCTGTGTACTGTGTGAGGCCAGATATATTGAATGCAGGGTCCTGGGTTTAATAACACTTTAATGAAATCTATATTAATTCATGCATTTTTGAAATACGGCATGCAAGACATTTGATACTGTCCATTTATATGGTCAACAGCCAATGTTTTACTTTTTTTATTCTTTAGAAAAAAAATGATGGTAACAAACTCTTTCTTAAAGCACAGTTATTGTTTTTTAATCATAGTATTGAAATACCTCCTGGCCTGCAGTTTTATCTCCAGTTCGTTTTGATATGTTTTAATGTATAAATATTGCAGCATTTTTAACACAACACAGCAAATCATTAGTACATAGTGCATTTTCTATATGCATAAAAATAGTGAATCAACTTTCACATAAAAGCTTGTGTTTTCTAATCTTCAGAAAGATATTTAAACTCATATCAGTTTTAGTTAGGTTCATACTTGACATCATACTTCACATCTGCTTTAAAAAGGTTAATGACAGTACAATCCCATCTGGCACTTTAGATTTGAAAGATCGCTCACTGGGAGAAATTGTAGAGTAATTAAGTCTCACTCGATAAACACTGCAATTCCTGGCAGAGATTTCAAAGAGACATTCATTTTCTAAACTGGAACATTTCTGGTTTTATTTTTAAAGAGAAAGTATAGCGCATTTTCAGTTAACATTTATATAAGTTATTTTTGCAGTATTTACCTTAAAACTGAACTCCAGGAGCTATAAAAGACACACATTAATTTGGCTGTGTATAAATTAATAAGTTGTTAAAATGTAACTTACCTTTCATTTAATATGGTGACAGGAGTGTAGAGAATCACCTCATTAGTCTTTTACTCTTCCTTCATTGTCCAATCAGCAAGGAGACACTACTATACAGTGGGGCAAAAAAGTATTTAGTCAGCCACCAATTGTGCAAGTTCTCCCACTTAAAAAGATGAGAGAGGCCTGTAATTGGCATCATAGGTAGACCTCAACTATGAGAGACAAAATGAGAAAAAAAATCCAGACAATCACATTGGCTGATTTGGAAAGAATTTATTTGCAAATTATGGTGGAAAATAAGTATTTGGTCAATATCAAAAGTTCATCTCAATACTTTGTTTTATACCCTTTGTTGGCAATGACAGAGGTCAAACATTTCCTGTAAGTCTTCACAAGGTTGGCACACACTGTTGCTGGTATGTTGGCCCATTCCTCCATGCAGATCTTCTCTAGAGCAGTGATATTTTGGGGCTGTTGCTGGGCAACACGGACTTTCAACTCCCTCCAAAGGTTTTTTATGGGGTTGAGATCTGGAGACTGGCTAGGCCACTCCAGGACCTTGAAATGCTTCTTACGAAGCCACTCCTTCGTTGCCCGGGCGGTATGTTTGGGATCATTGTCATGTTGGAAGACCCAGCCACGTTTCATCTTCAATGCCCTTGCTGATGGAAGGAGTTTTGCACTCAAAATCTCACGATACATGGCCCCATTCATTCTGTCCTGTAGATGGATCAGTCATCCTTGTCCCTTTGTGGAGAAACAGCCCCAAAGCATGATGTTACCACCCCCATGCTTCACAGTAGGTATGGTGTTCTTTGGATGCAACTCAGCATTCTCTCTCCTCCAAACACGACGAGTTGTGTTTCTACCAAACAGTTCTATTTTGGTTTCATCTGACCATATGACATTCTCCCAATCCTCTTCTGGATCATCCAAATGCTCTCTAGCAAACTTCAGACGGGCCCTGACATGTACTGGCTTAAGCAGGGGGACACGTCTGGCACTGCAGGATCTGAGTCCCTGGCGGCGTAGTGTGTTACTGATGGTAGCCTTTGTTACGTTGGTCCCAGCTCTCTGCAGGTCATTCACTAGGTCCCCCCGTGTGGTCCTGGGATTTTTGCTCATCGTTCTTGTGATCATTTTGACCCCACGGGGTGAGATCTTGCGTGGAGCCCCAGATCGAGGGAGATTATCAGTGGTCTTGTATGTCTTCCATTTTCTAATTATTGCTCCCACAGTTGGTTTGTTCACACCAAGCTGCTTGCCTATTGCAGATTCAGTCTTCCCAGCCTGGTGCAGGTTTATAATTTTTTTTTCTGGTGTCCTTCGACAGCTCTTTGGTCTTCACCATAGTGGAGTTTGGAGTGTGACTGTTTGAGGTTGTGGACAGGTGTCTTTTATACTGATAACAAGTTCAAACAGGTGCCATTGATACAGGTAATGAGTGCAGGACAGAGGAGCCTCTTAAAGAAGAAGGTACAGGTCTGTGAGAGCCAGAAATCTTGCTTGTTTGTAGGTGACCAAATACTTATTTTCCACCATAATTTGCAAATAAATTCTTTCCAAATCAGCCAATGTGATTGTCTGGATTTTTTTTCTCATTTTGTCTCTCATAGTTGAGGTCTACCTATGATGCCAATTACAGGCCTCTCTCATCTTTTTAAGTGGGAGAACTTGCACAATTGGTGGCTGACTAAATACTTTTTTGCCCCACTGTATTCCTTCTACAATCTAAAACTATAGGTTGTGTTATCCATTTGGCTCTGCTGAATAACTAGACAAATGCAAATATCCTTTGCTGGGTAAAACAGCTCCCTTATATGTATTTCATCTGTGCTACTTTGCATGTCATTTTCACATTTTTACAAGTTTGCTCTTCTATATTTTGTCATTGCAATAAATGTGTGTAAATTAGCCACTAGAGGAAGTTCTTGGGAGCTAGATGTCTTCTCCCTCCTAAAAACCGATGGCATAAGATATCCATGCAGTAAATGTAAAGACTATACATATCCAAAATAGAATAAGATGAAAATGCTTTACATACTACAAAATATATTAACCGCTTCCCGACCGCCCTATAGCAGAAATACTGCTACAGGGCAGCACGGGTGCGCAAAATCACGTATATATACAGGTGAAACTCGAAAAATTTGAATATTGTGCAAAAGTTCATTTATTTTAGTAATGCAACTTAAAAGGTGAAACTAATATATGAGATAGACTCATTACATGCAAAGCAAGATAGTTCAAGCCGTAATTTGTCATAATTGTGATGATTATGGCTTACAGCTCATGAAAACCCCAAATCCACAATCTCAGAAAATTAGAATATTACATGCAATCAATAAAACAAGGATTGTACATAGAACAATATTGGACCTCTGAAAAGTATAAGCATGCATATGTACTGTCAGGGATCTCGGGCCGGATCACGGCGCGCGAGTCTGCGCATGCGCGGTATGCCGAGGGGCACTAGCGTGCGGGCACTAGGACCTGGGCGCCCGCGACGGCAACGGCGCCCGCGCATGTGCACTCGCGGGGACGCACACCTGGCACCAGTAGGAGCGCAGGGCGCCCTATTTGAACAGGCTCTGACAGTGCTTAGTTGCCGTATGGTCTTTCCTGTATCCTGTGAGATTGCTTTGCTGCCGACCCTGCCTGACCCTGATTTGCTGACTTCTCCTGCTCTGACCCCTGGCTTGCCTGACCATTCTACTGCCTACTTCTGCGCCTCTGATCTCTTGTTGCCGAACCTGGACCGTGACCCGTTTATTCTTCTGCCTGCTGTTTGTACTGACCTGCCCCGCTGTTACCGACCTGGCCTGTCTGACCTCGCTTACTCTGCCTCCTCACATCAGATTCTCACCTGCTACGTACCGGCCTAGGTCGGTAACAAGCAAGATTTCTGGCTCTCACAGACAGGCTGTCCTATTAGGGATCTTCCTGTTCCTGTGTTTACAGTTACACAGGTACAGGAAATTATGACATCTTCTTTCTCTGGGCACATTCTGTCCCAGAGAGAGAAGAATCAACACACAGTGAGTAAAAGCAGAACACTTTAGGACACATCTAACCCCTGGATCACCCCCCCAGTTAACCCCTTCACTGCCCTATCACCATTGTCATTAGTACAATGTACAGATTTTTTCTGATTACTGTATTAGTGTCGCCGGCGACTTCAGATAGCGCTAGCATAAGTTACCATCGGTTAGCTCCCCTCCCAGATAGCATCAGATTGCCGTCAGTACACCAGTCATCACATTTAACCCCTTGACAGGAACATGCTCACATACACAATAAACCTCCATTGCTAGTATAGTGTCTGAACGGATCAGATCAGCACTATACCAGCGTTCACATTAGTATAGTGTCCCCAAAAACGCAGCATTAGCGGGATCAGTCCCGGCACCTGCGTTTAGCCCCTACGTTTCCCCCCCTCTTCTGCCCCAGCAAGTGCAGTGTCAGTAGGTCACTGTCACTTGATACATTGCACACAAAACCGCAGCGTTCGCAGAATCAGGCCTGATCTCTGTTAGCACTTACCAGTAAATCTTTTTTTAGCAGTTCAAGCAGTCCCTAACAGCCAGATGCTCTTTTTCCTGTGAGTCGCACTAGGTACCTAGAAATTTAGTGGCCAAAATGTCCAATGAAAGGTACTCTAGTGAAGAGGCCTACCGGATTCTGAGCATGTCACGTGAGAGTGAAGGGGAAGACTCCCTGACACAATCAGCCTCAGAATACGAACCTGTAGAGAGCAGCGACACCCTGACAGAAAGCTCAGACGATGGAGAAGTGGTCCCTACTAAGATCAGGCGTACCTGACACCATTCACAGGTTGCTGAGATGTTCCAAATGCATGATGACTCTCATATGCAGCAGAGTATCAGTACTAGTGCCGCTCTACCTTTTGGTGAACTAGCGCGTACCAGCGGCCTAGTACATCCTGGTCTTGCACATACCAGCACTGCAGTATCACTTGGTGACTTGCTGAGTCCCATAAGTGCAGTACAAGCTGGTGCAGTAGTGAGCACAAGTAGTGTCCCATAGCCACCAAGAATTCGCACACAGGCCCGTAGAG